TGTAGATGTAGATAGCAGATGTATCAAAAAAATGTAAAATGTAAATTTTTTTTTTTTTAATTCTAAAGTTCTTAAAAATCATATGCTCAAAAATGTATATACTGACTGAGTACGGGTATAAGTAGAGTCGCGTCCCCAGAAGCGACTCGCACGTTCCTTCTCGTTATACCCGTACTCAAAAAAGAGTTAAGGGGTATATTAGATTTGCGGTAAAAGTGGATGTGTGCTACGCAGAAAAGGAAACGTTTCCGACCCCATAAAGGATATACATATATTCTTGATCAGCATCAATAGCCGAGTCGATAGAGCCATGTCTGTCTGTCCTTCTTGTTTGACGCCTGGATCTCAGAGACTATAAGAGTTAGGGTAACCAACTTTGGTTTTCAGACTCATGTGATATCACACTGCTACAAGTGTATTTCAAAATTTCGCCCCGCCCCCTTCCGCCACCGCAAAGGACGAAAATCTGTGGCAGGCACAATTTTAAAGATACGATAAAACTAAAAACGCAGGTCCGTAGAGAATGATCATATCTACCAGATTGCCGAATCTGAATCAGATCGGATCATAGTTATAGCCAGAATGAAGAATTTTCTGTTGGTTCTTCCGCCCCCTCCAGACAGAGACCCGCTACCACTCTCTTTCTCGCTCGCACACTCTGCCGCGTTCAGTGCGCGAGCAACCCCTAGCGGAGGAGATGTAGAATCTAAATGGTACATGTATAATCTACATGTTAGATGTAGAATATACATAATATATGTAGATGTAGATAACAGATGTAGCAAAAAAATGTAAAATGTACATTTTTATACCCGTACTCAAAAAAGAGTTAAGGGGTATATTAGATTTGTGGTTAAAGTGGATGTGTGTAACGCAGAGAAGGAAACGTTTCCGACCCCATAAACTATATATATTCTTGATCAGCATCAATAGCCGAGTCGATAGAGCCATGTCTGTCTGTCCGTCTGTCCGTCTGTCTGTCTGTCCGTCTTGTATGACGCCTAGATCTCAAGACTATAAGAGCTAGGGCAACCAAATTTGGTTTCCACACTCATGTGATATCACACTGCTACAAGTGTATTCAAAATTTCGCCCCGCCCCCTTCCGCCCCCACAAAGGACGAAAATCTGTGGCAGGCACATTTGTAAAGATACGATAAAACTAAAAACGCAGTATCGTAGAGAATGCCCATACCCCAGACTGCCGAATCTGAATCAGATCGGATCATATTTATAGCCAGAATGAAGAAATTAATTTTCAGTTGCTTCCCCTGTCCCCCCCCCGACGACGACTACGAAACTCATTTTCCTTCTCGCTCGCACACTCTGCCGCGTTCAGTGCGCGAGCAACCCTAGCGGAGGAGATGTAGAATCTAAATGAAGCATGTACATTGTACAATCTACATGTTAGATGTAGAATATACATTGTAGATGTAGATGTAGATATAGATGTAGCAAAAAAATGTAAAAATTTTTTTTTTTTTATAATTCTAAAAAATCATAAGATCAAAAATGTATATACTGACTGAGTACGGGTATAAGTAGAGTCGCGTCCCCAGAAGCGACTCGCACGTTCCTTCTCGTTTTTATTAGGTTTCTTGTTTCCGGTATCTTGCAGCACGTTTGCTGCACATATCGGATTAGTAGACAACATTTTGGAGTAATCATCATTCAAGTGTGCGAAGCCATTTGTAGTGCCCTGTCTAAGGAATTTCCCAAATAAAACACGGAAAACATTTTACAGTGGGCTTAGGGTTTTGAAGATGAATGGAACTTTCCGAACTGTATTGGAGCCGTTGACGGAGACCATGTGGCGATAAAGGCACCACCTAAAAGTGGGAGCTGTTTTTATACCCGTACTCAAAAAAGTTAGGGGGTATATTAGATTTGTGGTAAAAGTGGATGTGTGTAACGCAGAGAAGGAAACGTTTCCGACCCCATAAAGTATATATATTCTTGATCAGCATCAATAGCCGAGTCGATATAGCCATGTCTGTCTGTCCGTCTGTCCGTCTGTCTGTCTTGTTGAGCGCCTAGATCTAGAGACTATAAGGCTAGGGCAACCAAATTTGGTTTCCAACTTATGTGATACCACTGCTACAAGTGTATTCAAAATTCGCCCCGCCCCCTCCCCCACACAAAGGACGAAAATCTGTGGCAGGCACAGTTTAAAGATACGATAAAACTAAAAACGCAGTATCGTAGAGAATGCCATATCTACCAGACTGCCGAATCTGAATCAGATCGGATCATAATTATAGCCAGACTGACGAAATTAATTTTCAGTTGCTCCCCCCCCCCCCCCTCCTTAAAACGACAACGAAACTCATTTTCCTTCTCGCTCGCACACTCTGCCGCGTTTAACCTTACAAAGGTAGGAATGGAACATGTACAATCTACATGTTAGATGTAGAATAAACATTTAATATGTAGATATAAAAAAAAAAATAAAAAAAAATGTAAAATGTAACATTTTTTTTTTAAAATTTTTTAACGAATTCCCTTCATATTCAGGGCTTTCTCTCTTTTAATTACAAAGTAGGTCGCTTATTAATTTTATAAAACATTTTATTTTTTTTCCTCCTTTTATTTTTTTTGTTTTTCGATTGTGCTCATGGCGATCTGCGACGCCCAGTATAGGTTCACATATATCGATGTTGGCGCCTATGGAAGTGAAGGATACATGAATACCTACTCACACTGTGAGCTTGGAAAAACGTTGTTGTCGGAAACTCTGCAGTTTCCTGACAACAATGTGCTAAATGGAGAGCGAACTCCATATTACATTGTTGGAGATGATACCGCTGCATAAGCGCATTATGAAGCTATTTAGCTCCCGAAGCCTAGCGGTGGACGAGTTTATTTTCAACTACAGATAAAGCCTAGCACGTCGTTGCATTGGGAATGCTTTTGGCATTCTTTGCGCCAGATGGATGGCTGTTCAACGTACTCTGCTAAGCCTACGCGAAAAGTTTTAAAAGATGTGGCTTCCTGCTGTTCGTTGCACAACTTCTTAATGCGAACGCATATACCATAAATAAAAATTCATTAATTCAGGCGCAAACTGTTTTGAACGGTCGGTCGGCCTCAGGAGTTTTGCAAGGCCATTACAAACAATATAACAAATTTTGTTATCAGCCCAGCCGGGTCTGTGTCTTGGCAACATGAAGCTGCTGGCGTCCAAAAAAATTAAACAAATAAAAAATTCAAGTGAATTCGGTTTATTTTAATAATATTCTAATCCTTATCCTTTTTCGCCTTTTTTATGTCCTCAAGATCGCTGAAAATGCATGTGGTCATCTTTCTTTCTACTTCAGCGGCTTCCTCTTCCGACAATTTGGACAATACGTCTCCCAATAGAGGAACGCGGGCGTAGTAGTTGGAGCTTGTTTATGGGCGATCTTCTCCAGTATGCCCACAGTACCTGTGGTGCTCCTCTCCACCTTCCTCTCTTTAGTTTTCTTCCTCTGTGAACAATAGTTTAAATTTATGTAGCCGTGTTTAAGTTGTATCACGTTTTCTACTTACATATGAATACGACTGCTCGGCACTCATGTCGCTGAGCTCCTTCTCCAAGCACTTTTCGCCTTCGACCCAGCTGCTTTCATCGGTTTCAATTGTGTCCGTTTCAAACAGAACCGGACACTTAAGGGGCCCCCAAGCTCAGGGGCCCAAACTCCTACCAGAAAATTACCAAAAAATCTCTCACTCCATATATGCATATGTATGTAATTTTTCTCATTTGCGAAGAAGGATTCATAAGCATACATGCAAAAACCGAACTAAATGCCAAACATTTCATCTATGGTTTAATTTTCGTCGTCATCTTGCCTCCCGCTTGACGTTCGGCTCGTTTCTTCCCTTTCAGGCTCAAAGAATTGTTTTTGTAATTTTCGTCGTTTGCCTTTACGTTGATTTTCCTGCTTGACGTTAAGCAAAGCAAACAAGAAAACATTTGTATACCCATTCTCACAGGCTGTATTTGAATTGGGCAGAGATTTGACCGCAAAAAATGAAAATTATTTTATAAATATTGTGTATTTTCGACAAAGTTGACCACTATATCATATAGATCCTAAACTGAAGAAATATAGCTAGCAGACTATTTTTAATATATTTTAGTTGTCTTACTTCAAGGGAAGAGGGTATATAAAATTCGTCAAGCTAGAAATTGAGAACAATCGAGAAAACGCAAAACGGCGACTGTCTGTATGCTATGTGAAGTAACGTTGCTTCCTTTTATTTGACAAAGCCAAATTTATATTTCTTCGTCTCGTGTCTCGTATAATTTAGTAAATATTTATTAAAATATGGATCAAAAAAAGAAACCAAGTGGTGCGCTTAAGCGCAAACAACGCCAGGAAAGAGAAAACAATATGCAAAAACTACCCAAAATTGACAAATTTTTTAGTCAGCCTTCTAGTAATTTAAGTTATTTTGAATTTGATGTGAGTCAATCAAATTCTGTCACCACTGCAGTGCTGTTTGAGGAGCCCGTTGCAGAAAATTTGATGATGAATTCAGTTAAAGATCCCACCGCCGATGTTGCCGAACATATTGACGAAGATATTTTTTAGCACAGCACGAGTAACAGCAAAGGAACCCTCGACTCGACTTTCAATGACAATGAAAAACGTCAAATTCTGGATTTGGGGCCTTTACAGCCTCCAGGGCCTTTTCCAAAAGACGGCCACGAGAAGAGCAGATGTTTCTCAAAATCCTACTACTTTTCTACTTCTAAATATGGACCAGTTCATCGTTTTTGGCTGTGTTATTCTAAAGTACTGGATGCTGCGTACTGTCAACCCTGCTGGTTGTTTGCTTCTCAAAGGAGTAATGGATGTGTACTGGCATTCGGGATTGGAGACATTTATCAGAAAAAATTAAACAGCACAGTTTCTCTAGTGGCCATACGGAAGCATGTGCTGTGTATGAAATTTGGAAGAAAAGTGATACTGACGACAAGGAACTTGAAAATGAAATTCTGAAAGAAGCGTCATTTTGGAAAATGGTTCTTAAAAGGTTATTCGATGTCATACTAACCCTAGCAAAGAACTCGTTGGCTTTAAGAGGACATCGAGAAAACTTAAGTGAGGAAGGGTACCATGGAAATTTTCTGTCCGTTGTGGAGCTTCTCGCCCGTTATGATCACATATTGCGGCAAGTTTTGGATATGCCCAAAGGTATTTCTTTTTAATTTATATTTATTCTCTTCTCATTCCAATTTGTTTTTTTATTTGTCCTTTTTAGGATCTACAAGATATCTGAGTGCAACAATCCAAAATGAAATGATTGAAAGTTAGGGGACCACACTTGAAAATCATATACTCGAGAAAATTACAGCGTCACCGTTTTTCGCCATAATAATAGATACGACACAGGACATATCGAAGGTAGACCAGCTCAGCATTGTTGTGAGGTAAGCAATAATAACTAGGTCAGAAAATTTACAGCCAGTTGACATAGAAGTTAAAGAATCGTTTGTAGGCTTTTATGCAGCATACAAACATGGCGCTGCAGATTTAGTCAACCAAATAACTAAATTATTTATCGACAAAAAAATTGATCTGAAAAAATTTGTTGGTCAAGGTTATGATGGCGCTAGTGTTATGAGCGGTGTGTATAATGGTGTGCAAAAACACATTAAGGATATCCAGCTCAATGCAGAGTACGTTCATTGTGCCAGTCATAACTTAAATTTGATGGTGAATGATGCAGTTAGCGCTTGTGTGGAATTACAGATTTTTTTCGCAACGGTGCAAGACTTGTACAATTTTTTCGGAAATAGCATTAAACGTTGGGATCTGCTTTCTTAATTCACTGGCGAATCAGATACCACATTGAAAAAACTAAATCCCACTAGATGGTCTAGTAGAGTAAACACGATATCTGCCATAAAACTTCGTTTTTTCGATATTATTAAAGCATTATCATAAATAGTTCTTAAGAGCTCCAGTAAAGATGAGCGTAGTCAAGCAGACTCTGTTAAAATAAAAATGTTCAATTTCGAGTTTGTGTTCCTTTGCGAGTTCATTGAATAGTATAGTTGAGTATTGAATGATATTAATTATGCTTCTAAAACTTTACAAACATGCTCTATCAATTTGGGCGAGGCAAGTCAAGTATTAGAAGAGACAACCTCAAAAATGCAAATTTATAGAAATGACTTCGAAACATTTAATTTAAAAGCCAGTGAAACTGCAGATAAATATGGTATAGATCCCCATTTTAAAGAAAAAAGGAAAAGAACAGTAAAAAAACACTTTGATGAGTTAGCTTCTGATTTCCGGTTTCAAAACAGGGAACAAATATTTAAAACTGGAACGTTTTACTGGTATGAGGGAGGTAAATAAAATATTTCAGTTTCTAACGCAATCATTTTTGGTAGATGTTGACCAAAAAATGTTGCATAACCAATTATGCAAAGAAATAATGAGAAAATATGGAGTGCTAGAATGCGACATAACAGAGGTATACACGGCAATGTTACTATTTCATACAGTTCCAGTTTCATCTGCACAAGCTGAAAAATCATTTAGCAAATTAAAAATAATAAAAAACTATTTAAGAAATACTATGGGCCAAAATCGACTCCGCCATTTATCGCTAATAGCAATAGAAAACAAGGAAGCATCTACTTTAGATTTAAGTGAAATCATTGATAATTTTGCCAAAATTAAGGCAAGAAAAATGTTGTAATTTTGTCAAATATACAATAAAGATTTTTAAATACATAAAATTGCAAAAAGAGAATTTGTCTTCCACCGCTCACCAAAACCTTCTTAATGATAAAGTATCTGATTTTAGATGGGGCTACGCCACTGAGCACTTCCACTCTTGCTGACTCTTTATACGTGGTACCGGTAGCTGTCCCGCAAAGATTTCTAACCAGTTCTGCATGTATCAACTGAAAATGTTTTTATGTAAACATATACCTACATTTTAAAATTCATTAAAATTGGTCTTACTGTCTCTATTCATCTCAGTAGCCACAAACTCCCATGCAGATTTTATAGCATTCGCATCAAAATGATGCTTACTACTTAAATCCCACAACAGCTCCTTTTTCTTCACCACCAGAACTAGTTTTATTATGTCTTCGTCGCTGAATTCACCCAGCCGTTTGTTTGGTTTTGCTTACTTGCACTCCATTTCTCTATGTTTGCTTCGTGTTTGCTGGCAAAATATATCAAATTTTTATCACTTTCGAGGGGTATAAAAACCTACCAGCAATGCAAGCAAATACTTCGGATACTTTTCTAGAATATACCGACCTTTTTTTTTGTTGATCTGAGTACTGCCTTCCGTACAGTTCCTAGAAAACAGTTTTGTCCCGAAAAAATGTCGTATCGGTTTCATACGAATATCAACCCTGATTCTGTTCGCGAGGTGTTTTTTCGGATCTGAGTACCAGGCTTTAAAAAGGCAAAATCAAACTCAAAACAGGATAGGGGATGTTTGACATTTTTCAGGATGAAGCAGTTTAAAAACGGACAGATCTGTCCGGAAAAGGGTTTAAATCGCATCACTGATCCACTTTCTCAGCTCGCTCTCTCGGTTCTCAGACAGACAAGCCTTAGAAAGAGATGGCACTCTTTGTTTGTTGTTGTTTTCTTGCATTCTGAAAAACGGATGGTCCTCGAAAGAGAGCAAAGAGGTGGTGAAACCACCTACTTTAACCATACAGTATACAGTGATGGAAAAAATAATAGAAACGACCATTTTTTTTTTTCGCATTTTTCAAAATTTTCTTCAGTCAATATTTTTAAAGAGTTAAGGGGTATATTAGATTTGTGGTAAAAGTGGATGTGTGTAACGCAGAGAAGGAAACGTTTCCGACCCCATAAAGTATATATATTCTTGATCAGCATCAATAGCCGAGTCGATAGAGCCATGTCTGTCGCTGTCCGTCTGTCTGTCTGTCTGTCCCTGTTGAGCGCCTAGATCTCAGAGACTATAAGAGCTAGGGCAACCAAATTCGGTTTGCAGACTCATGTGATATCCCACTGCTACAAGTGTATTTCAAAATTTCGCCCCGCCCCCTTCCACCCACACAAAAGACGAAAATGTGGCAGGCACATTTTTAAAGACACGATAAACTAAAAACGCAGATTGCCGAGTCTGAATTAGATCAGATCATAATTATAGCCAGAATGAAGAAATTAATTTTCAGTTGCTTTCCCTGCCCCCTCCTGCCAACGACAACACAACTCATTTTCCATCTCGCTCGCACACTCTTCCGCGTTCAGTGCGCGAGCAACCCGGGTGTAGCTAAATGGAGCATGTACATTGACAATCTACATAGATAAAATACATGTAGATGTAGATAACAGATGTAGCAAAAAAATGTAAAATGTAAAATTTTTTTTTTCTAAAATTCTAAAAAATCATAAGTCAGTATATACTGCTGGCGCCCCCCCACCAGTCAATATTAGTTATACTGAGGGTAAGAGTGGATGTGTGTAACCAGAGAAGGAGAGTTTCCGACCCCATGGTATAATTCCTGAAGCATAGCCGAGTCGTATAGCCATGCTGCTCCTTCTGTGTCTTTCCCGATTTTTTAAGGGCAACCAAATTTGGTTTCCAGACTGTGACATCCCACTGCTCAAGTGTATTCAAAATTTCGCCCCCCCCCCCCCAATCTGCGCACAAAGCCACCCCGTCGAAAGATCAGACATAATATAGCCAGAAATTATTAGTTGCTTTCCTCCCCCTCCTCCAACGACCAACACCAACTCATTTTCCTCTCGCTCGCACACTCTTCCGCATTCAGTGCGCGAGCAACCCCCGGCGGGGGAAAAATAAAAAAAAAAAAATAATTTAATTTAAAAAGAAACAAAAAATATGACAGATTTTTTTTTAATTTAAAATTCTAAAAAATATAAGCCATATACTTATACTGACTGAGTACGGGTAGAGAGTTTTTTTTAAATGAATTTTTGAAAACTGGTATTTGTTTTCTAAGGCAGCTTTTTTCAGTGGGTTAGGCTTTTTTTTTTCACATTGCTCTAGTATCTTACGTCTGGTTGTAAAGAACTTTGCTATTTTGAAACGATAATTAAAACAGCTAGAAGTTAAGCTCAAACACTTTGTGATTACAGCTTACCGTCTGGAAAAAAAAGCATTGAAATGCAAAAATGATGATTTTTGTGCGGTATTTTTTACGAAATTTTGACTTTAAAAACTCAGGAAAAAAAAAAAAAAAAATATATCCTATGTCCTCTATTTTTTTGTGTATAGGTGCATTAATTTGGCGTCGTTCAAGGTATCGCTCATTAAAATCTATGGAGAGACTTTGGAGCTAAAATTCGTTAACCAAACCTAAAAAATGAAAAAATTTAACAAAAAATACCTTTTGGAAGGTTGCGGGCCTAACTGCCAATTGGGAACAAAGCAAACGAAAAATGGTTGTACATTTGGTACCTGATCGCGATCCCAATTCGCAATTGGCTGTTATAGTTATGGCAATACTGTATCATCTACGACTAATAAAGAAATACGATATGTTTTTAACTGAAATTCTATAAGGCATTCAATATTTGCCAAAACTGATATTTTTTGTCCACCTAGTCCATGGTATCCGTTGAGATTTTAGCTTAATATATTCTGGGATTATTGATTTCTGAATAAAGCTTACTGGACTTCCAGTGTTAAATAAACTTATTATATTAATATCAGTGCACGGCAGCTACGGGGCTCTTTTTGGGGCAGTCTTTGCACTGGTGGTCTTCGCCCCAGCAGTTGAAACAGGCACCATCTGGCTTATTTTGGTCGTCAGCATTCCTTCATGAAATGCCCAAGTTGTCGGCAATTGTAACAGCGCACGGAAACAGGGCCTCGCCACCTTCTCATTATTCGTATTATTCGGCTCACCCCGAGGTGACATCTGACAGCTAGTAGCTCCTTGCGCAGATCAGTCCATTTTAAAGGTTTCGCATAAATCATATGGGTCTTTGCTGATCCAGACAACAATCGCTTCGCCAAAATCCAACGGCGTGGATCTGACACGTTGGATACATTCATCACATCTTCGAAATCGTCAAGCTTCCCGAAAAAGGTTGTACTAGTGCTTCAATGTCTTTTACATCAATGCCGTCAGAGTGGTTTGTTTTGTTCAAACCAGCTTCTATATGTTGAACCTCCGCTTTTAATTCTGAAACACGTTTGCGAGCTAAGTAGTGGTGCTCCATACGTTGCAACTGTTCTATTTCTTCTTCAATTGGGGTTGCTTTGTAAGCCACAGTATTTTCCTGTCGCGACATGTTCGGATCTCGCATTCTAGAAATTTCTTCATCTTCTTCACGAATTTCATCATCCATTGACACGTTGCTGCCAGACATACTATAGTTGTCTCTTTCTTCCTTATGCTCGTCTGCAGGGTCGTCGTCTAGCAGCAGTAAATCTTCCTGCATTGGTGTTTGCTTTAATTTTTCATCCATTTTTTGTTCCATTTTATCCTCTACGTGTGTTTTCTCTATGTTTGTTAACTTTTCCGTACTTTCTCTCTCACCAAAAATGTTATTTACCGCTCTGCGCAGTTGAAAAATTGTGGCCTCACCATCAAAATGAACTTCTTGCGTCTTTAATATAGCAATTAGCTCGGTCTTTGATTTTGTTAATATCTCGCAGTATTTCATCACAATGTGTCTACCCTCTGGATGGTAGCATTTCGAGAAGCTGCAAGCCTTTTTAGGAGACTTCCGAGTAAACGACTCGGAGCAAAGCACCCTGGACAAAGAGAGTAAGTTAAATACAATTATGTATTTATTACGTTCATTATGTTATGTTCATTGCAGATAGTAATGAGTTTTTTTCGGACGTGATCGAGGTGCACCTAGACGGATCCTGCAGCTCTAGCGCACTCTCTGTGAGCAATGGGCCCCCACAGAAGCGCACCAAGCTGGATAGCGTAGTGGCCCCGCTCGTAGAGAGCGTCCAGAGAGCACCTAGCTGCTCAGAAGGATCACCATAAAAAGCAGGAGGATCACCACAAGAGGCAGGAGGATCTTCTCGAGGAGCTGATCCGAACCCAGACAACGTTTCAAACTGACTTCATGCTATTTTTTAGAAAACGAGAAGGGCGTGTGAGTCGCTTCTGGGGCGTTCTATACCCGAATCAGTCAGTATATACTTTTTTAATTTTACATTTTTGCTAGACTATACAATGTATATTCTACATCAACATGTCGTACATGTTCCAATTAATCATCTCCGCTGGGTTGCCGCGCACTGAACGCGGCAGGTGTGCGGCGAGAGGAATGAGTTGTGATATCGTTTGTGGGGGGCAGGGGAAGAACAGAAAATTAATTTCTTCATTCTGGCATAATTATGATCCGATCTATTCAGATTTGGCAATCTGGTAGATATGGGCTTTACGCGCTAGTTATCGTCGCCCCGTTTTCGTCCTTTGTGGGGGCGGAAGAGGGGGCGAATTTGATACACGCAGTGTGTATCACATGGTCGGAAACGAATTTGGTTACCCACCTATAGTCCTGGTCAGGCGCTCAACAAGCGGACGACGGGGAGGGGACAGCAGCTGGCTATATGTTATGATGTGATCAGATATATATACTTCGGGGCGATTTTCCTTCGTTACACACATCCACTTTTACCACAATCAATACCCTATCTTTTTTGAGTACGGGAAAAAAAAAAACAGCAGTAGTACGTTTTTATAATAAACTAGCAGACCCGCGCGCTTCGCTGCTTACTAAATGAATTTTATGTTTAGGAATTCATCGAAATTAAAAAATGATAATTTTGATGTAATGACATATTTTATTTATTGCAATGCTTTGTGATAAACAATATTCTTTGTTTTGTTAATTAATGCCGAAGGTTTGCCTACTCGTGAGCACGCTAAATACAGTTGACCATGTGAAAATACCGGATGCTCCAAATTTAAACCACAAATTTGCAACGACTGTCCTTGGGATTTATTAATAGCACTACTCGACAAAATCGAACTTTTTTTTTATTAAGGATCCAAACCAACTTTTTCTGATAGATATGGGGATTTAAAATTTTTTAAAGAATTATGGTTTTTTTTTCTATGGCAGAACTTTTTTTAAGAATTTTTGAAGTCTGGTTTTTTTTTAAAGCTTTTTTCAGAGTACCGTTTTTCACATAACCAGTATCTTACGTCGGGTTGTAAAGAACTTTGCTATTTTGAAAAGAAATTTGAAACAGCTAGAAGCTGATGCCAAACACTTTGTGATTCAGCTTACCGTCTGGGAAATATAAAGCATTGAAATGCAAAAATGATGATTTTTGTGCGGTATTTTTACGAAATTTTGACTTTAAAAACTCAGGAAAAAACAAAAAAAAATATATATCCTATGTCCCTTATTTTTTTGTGTATAGGTGCATTAATTGGCGTCGTTCAGTATCGCTCATTAAAATCTATGGAGAGACACAAAAGAACAAACCAAAATTGGAAAAAAGGGTACCTTTTCATGTTGCGGTCAACTGCCCATTGGGAATTGGGATCGCTTAAATGTGCAACCCTTTTTCGTTTGCTTTGTTCCCAACCATCGAAAAGGTATTTTTTGTTCATTTTTTCCATATTTTAGGTTTAGTTAACGAATTTTAGCTCCAAAGTTTCTCCATAGATTTTAATGAGCGATACCTTGAACGACGCCAAATTAATGCACCTATACACAAAAATATATAGGACACAGATATAATTTTTTTTCGACTTTTCCTGAGTTTTTAAAGTCAAAATTTCGTAAAAAATACCGCACAAAAATCATCATTTTTGCATTTCAATGCTTTATATTTCCCAGACGGAAGCTGTAATCGCAAAGTGTTTGGGCTTAACTACTAGCTGTTTTAATTATCTTTTCAAAATAGCAAAGTTCTTTACAACCAGACGTAAGATACTAGAGCTATGTGAAAAAAACAAGCGCTACCTCTGAAAAAACCTAAAAAAAAAATACCAGTTTTCAAAAATTCTTCAAAAAAAGTTCTGCCATAGAAAAAAAAAATATCAAACCATTTCTAAGCCCCAAATCTTTAAGAAAAAGTTCGTTTTGTTCCTTGAGGAAAAATCGTGTTGACTAGTGTAATCAATTCAGTTATGTATCAAAATATAACAAAACAATATTTTCAAAAAACTTAATGAACTTAAAAATAATTTTCAATTTTAAGGCCCGGAAAAAATAATAGAAACGCCTGACTTAAATCTATGGAAAACAGATTTGTAGCTTCAAAGGCTATTAGTTTAGTTCCTAACTTTAATATTTAGTTGTGCCACCGAGATTTTTAATGACTTCGGTGCATCGACGTCCCATGGAATCCACCAAATTGGCACAAATTGATGGTTCAATGGAGTACCACTCGGACTTTGCTTTATTTCACAAATCTTCCCTATTTTTAAGACTTATACCCACCAATACTCTTCTTTAATATCCCCCAAAGGTGCTCTTTGGGATTTAGGTCTGGTGACTGCGAAGGCCATTCCATCAAGGGAACTTTGTTATCCATGAACCATTTCTTAGCCAGCTTAGAAGAATGCTTCGGGTCATTATCCTGCTGGAACTCCCATTTTATCGGCATTTCCTCTTCAGCATAAGGTAACATTATGTTGTCGAGTATGTCCACGTAGTGGGTGGCACACATATTTTCCTTTATCCAATGTATTGGACCAACAACCGAATGGGAAAAGCATCCCCACAACATGATGTTAGCACCACCATGCTTAACTGTTTTAATAGAGTACTTTGGATCGTGGGCAGTATTCTTAGGGCGCCTTACATGTGGTTTCCCATCAGATCCAAACAAATTGATCTTGGTTTCGTCCGACCACAACACATTTTTCCAATTTGAACGCAATAAATGCACCTTCGCGAAATTTACACGTTTGCCGATATTTTTTTTTGCTAAGGTATGGTACCTTTCGAGCTAAATGACCTTTTAGATCGACTTCAATCAGCCTATTTCTTATGGTTCGACTAGTAACCGGTGCATTCAAATCTTTTTTGAGATCTTTCGACGAAAGAAAGGGATTTTTTTTTTATTTTCTAACAAGGCGCCTGTCGATGTTGCGCGCTTTCTTCCGCGTATCTCTCGATTATTTTTGTAATGAATCGCCGTAAAGACTTTTTTTTTGGAACACTTTAGAATTGTTGCTATATCTGACATTGTATTGCCTTCATATCTAAGAGTTAGGATAAGCTGTCTTTCAATATGCCGCAACCCATTCTGAAACGAAAAACAACAACAAACAAAACGAGATCCGCAGGAAAACTTATTTAAAATCTCCTTTTGCCATTAGTTTATGAAATTTTACCTGTATAATACAATTACAACCGATCCAAAACAAGATAAGAACTAAATTCGGGTGCGTTTCTATTATTTTTTCCAAGACCAAAACGTCGTCGTGTCACAATTATGCATACACAACTTATAATTCTTACGAAAGAAGCCCAAAAGAGAATCCAAAGTAAAGCACCGTTATCCCGAAACTAAGTACAGTGGTATTCATGTAAAAAAATTGCACCAAATATGAAATATTTGGGTTTAAATTTGAATGCGCATGCCGTTTCTATTATTTTTTCCATCACTGTATATAAAGACAATATAAGTATAAGATGCGTAACGCTCATACATTTCAATTGCCATATGCAAGCAAATTTTTCGGCCAGCGACGAAATTCGCGCCATCTCGCTCGCATAAATTTGAGAGCGTACGAATCTAAAAAAAATAGAATCCGCTTGCATGTGTGAGTACACATAGAACAGCAAGTGCGTATGTGTGCGTACTTGTGCGAAGCGGACGATTTTCGAGACGAAAACCTTTTAATGAGTTGAGAGACGAAATTATTTACCTTACACTTCTTTTTCACACGTCGCACGCTGAATACCATAATGGCACTTATTCCAATGTGAAGTCATGTATTAAATATATTATTTATTTTTATATATGTATGTCCGATCATTATTATCGAATATACCATCTTAAAATAAATTATCGTTGGAGGGATATATACAATATAACTGTTTTTTAATATTGTGGTGGTAAGCGTCTTGCAAAATTAACTTACAATTATAAAGTGAAGGGTATGTTTCGACAGCGCTGTAAAAAACGTATGCATGTGCACACATACAGTCGTCGCGACGACTCGGCTCGGCTGTCGCATCGGCAAAGAACCAACTTCGTGTGCCTTCGTATGCTGTATGCATACAAGAGAGCGGCTCGCTCTAGAGCGCTCTCTCTCTCTAAAAAATTTCAAGAGAGCCTGGAGCAAGCTCTAGAGCCAGCATGCAAAATTCGTGTGCAAAAATTTCGTATGGCGTTATGTATCTTATACTTAAATTGTCTTTGGTACATCTATAATCTATCTGTTATATGTAAAATATACATTGTAGATGTAGATAACAGATGTAGCAAAAAAAATGTAAAATTTTTGTTTTTAATTCTAAAGTTCCAAAAAAATCATAAGCTCAAAAATGTACATATATAAGTAGAGTCGCGTCCCCAGAAGCCACTCACACGTTCCTTCTCGTTATAATTACAAAGTTTGTCGCTTATTCAATTTGAGTAACATATAATATTAATGCCTCCATTAATATTCAGGGCTCTCACTCGATTGTGCTAATGGCTATCTGCGACACACAGTATAGGTTCAGCTATATAGATGTTGGTGCCTATGGAAGTGAGGGAGATATGAATGCCTTCTCACACTGTTCGCTTGGAAAAGCATTGTTGTACTCCATATTTTATTGTTGGAGATGATGCGTTCCCGTTGCATAAGCGTATTATGAAGCCATTTAGCTCCCGAAACCTGGTTGTGGATGAGCGTATATTTAATTATAGATTGAGCCGAGCTCGCCGTTGCATTGAGAATGCTTTTGGAATTCTTTGCGCTAGATGGATGGCTGTGCAACGTACTCTGCTGAGCCAACCCGAAAATTCTCAAAAGATTGTGGCTGCCTGGTGTTCGCTGCACAACTTCTTAATGCGCACAGGTCCCAAAACGGCATATGTTTGAAGATGAATGAAGATTCATTAATTCAGGCGCACACTGTATTGGCCGATCTCCGGCCCTGTTGCCGCGGTCGCCCTCTGGACTACAGAAAGGCAATAAGAAATAATTTAAAAAAATTATGTCAACAGCCCTGCCGGGTCGGTTTCTTGGCAACATGAAGCTGCTGGCGTTCAAAACATTATAAATTAGGAATGGGTATTTTTGTATTTCATATTAAAGAATACATTTTACTAAAGCTTATAGCTACTACATTTGCTAAGCAGATTTTCTTAATGACCTCTTCTTTCGTATTAAATACTGTGTTATATCCTCCTCGACTTCTGCCTTTTCCTCCAACGGCAACGAGTTGAGCATGGAATCCCAGTATTCCAAAACTGGATTTATTGGTACTGCTGGATTCATCTGCTGATCGACGAATTTTCCGAAAATATCACAAACATGGGATTAATTAAAAACTACGTTTATAACTAAGTCGAGGTATTCTACTTACATAAGAATACGTTGAGCTACTGAGATCATCCAGCTCTTCTCTAAATCCTTCTCGCCCGCGTCCCACTGTGTCTCCAAATACGAGGTGCCGCATACTGCAGCGTCATCCAGCCCGGCTGAGCTGCTCTCATCCTTGGGCAAGAAGTCGAAGGCAAACGTACGCCTCTGTGCAGAAATATCGGGCAAGAATGACATGTGTGGAGCAAACATCAACTCCACACCGTCATTCGCCACTGGGTTCTCCATTTGGAACCCTCCTGCACTACCACTCTTGCTCTTGCTTGCCGACTTTATATGGTAGCGGTAGCTGTCCTTCAGAGATTTCCAAGCCAATTTGCAAATAGTCACTGGAAAACAAGTGCTACTATCAATAAATAAATAACTGACCTAAATTATATTTACCGTCCTTGTTTATTTCTCTAGCCACAGAATTCCAAGCATTTTTGGTTGCTATGGAGTCGAAATGTTTTTTATTGTCCAGGTCCCATATCACTGGCCTTTTCTCTACCGACTTTATTAAAAGTATTTTGCACTCCTGTGAGAACTCGGCAAGCCGCTTGTTTTTTAATACCTTTCCCTCCATATTTAAAGTCTGTGTGTTGTGTGTGATTTTGTGTCATGTCATTTTTCATTGGACGACGGAAAACGAAATATTTCAATGTTCCGATCGAGATGGGAAAATACCATCGGTTGCTTTTCTAGTATGTATCGAATGTCATTTTTTCGGAACTGAGTACCGGTCTGCAAAATGCCTGCTGCGAAATTTTCGGTCGACCGAAAAACAGGGATGATTTCTTATCGGTTTCATACGAACATCATCCCTGATTTCGGTCGACGGAAAATTTAGCGCGTTTGAGTATAGGCTATAAGCCACAAGCTTATCGATGTTTTTTTGCGATTCAAATCGAAAAAATACTACAAAGTATATAAGTGTGGCATCGTAAAAGCATTAAAATAAATGAAGTTCCCAGAGGTTTTTAATAAGCTAAAATTACGTCAATTTATCTTTAAAAATAGCCTTAATTCCCCGCTATTTTACAATTTATACCGCATTTGACAATTGAGACACAATAGATCTAGTGGGAAAATAGCTAAATTGGCAACACTGATTGCCATATGCATGACAATTTTTCGGCAAGCGTCGAAATTCGCGCCATCTCGCTCGCACAAATTTGAGAGCGTACGAATCTAAAAATAGAATCCGCTTGCATGTGTGAGAACACACAGAATTCTGCAGTACAAGAAGTGAGCGATGACAAATGTCAACTACGCGTCATTCAGGATTTTTTCTCAGCCGCTGCAACAGACGAGCAAAATATGACGTCGAAGTCGCGATCGACGCGTCGGTCAGACCAAACTCATTTTTCTCTTTGTTTTTTCTGTTTCGACGCGTGCCGTTACAGAAATTCGTTCGGCCGATCGTGTGCGGTAGAAGAGAATTTCGGCAGAGCTCTCTTCGCTTTGTCCGCTTTGCTATCACATTACATTGTTAATTGTGCGCAAAGAACAAGTAAAGTAAGCAAGTGAAGGAAAAAAAATTATATTTATTTATTTAATTCTTTACTATCGCTGAAATATAGTGGAACTAAACAATAATAAATAAGTATAATGTGCATGCATCAATTTGTGAGCAGCCCAACAACAAAAACCATTATATCCGAGGCTGGGTACAAACATATTATGGCGCGTACTTTGTTTTTGTTGTTGAAGTAAGTGCAGTGCCCGCTGCTGATATACAGTGAGCATGGTTTTGTTATTTGTGTTTTGTGTTGTGTTTTGTCGTCATTTAATTGAGCCCAAATAAATAGTAGCTTAGTAGTTGCTTACTAAAATTTAACACAATACATTTTACAGTAGAGGATAATGTGGACATTAAAAATTTTTTTTTTATAAAAAAATTAAACATTAAAATGTCTTCTACTGTAGTGTTATATGTACAGCTGTGTTCATTGAAATAGTACTGCCGCCATTTAAAGTCTATCAAATTAAAGAAGAGATACTGCAGAACTGTAACATTACATGTTACATTTGCTTAAAGATTAAAAATGTCTCAAAAATATTTTTGAAAGTGGTCAGGTGCGGCAGTACTATTATTATTATTATTACTATTATTATTATATTATATATTACATTTTTATATATATATATATATGCAGAGTCCTTAGTTTGATTTTAAGAACTATAGCGGTTTATTTAAAGGTATATAGTTTATTCCGTTCGACTTAGTTTTTAACAAAAGGGTTGTGTCTTCTACGAGATTGCGGCAGCGACTGAAAAGGGCGGTACGTTGCCACTCTTTTTCTCACGTTGCAACTGAGTCCGCATCTCCTATCGATATTTTAGCGTAGAGACAGAGGATTAATGGTGTTCCCGCTTCTGGTGTTCCTTGGCAATACCCTATCACTACCGCATCCCACATTCGGCCCTCCTGACGCCGGATTCGTCCCGAATTCTTTCATGTATTCAGCAACTGTCGATGTTTTGAACGGCCCTTCTCCTTCTACGACCCTTTCAACTTCGTATCGGCCATGGTTATTAACTTTGACTATTTTATATGGCCCTAGGTATTTTCCCTTCAATTTTAAGCCAGTCCCATACTGGGTGCGCTTAATGGCTACCAGCTCATTGATCTTATACTTCTTTTCTACCTTTCTTTTGGCATCGAAAGCTTGCTTGTTCTCAGCTTGCATATTCTGAATATTCTCTCTTGCTTCCTTTCTCAAGTTATCACGCTCATCATCTAATTCTGAAATCAGACAGTCCTGCATCAATTCCCTGAGCTGCACATCACCTGAAACACGCATATCTAAGCCAGTTAGCAGTTTAAATGGCGACACTTTGGTACTCCTCGGCTCGGTATTATTTATGATCTGTTGTATCTTACCTACATGCTTATACCAGCATCCTGGACTTTCATGACTTACTTTAGATAGCATTGGGACAACTATTTTATGGATACGCTCGACTTGTCCATTTCCCCTAGGTACGCCTGTTGCAATTAGCAAATGTTGAATCTTCTCCCTATCGCAATACTCCTTAAACAGATGCGAAGTGAACGCAGCTCCGCGATCTGAAACGATCCTGTACGGGTTTCCAAAGCAAACAGCCTGACGCTCCAAACAACTAATAACTTCTTCGACCCCTGTGCTCCGAGTAGGATACAACCACACATACTTAGAAAAGCCATCTACAATCACGAAAAGGTGATTATATCGTTTTTTGGTTAACTCCATCGGGCCAACATGATCAACATGGTAGGTAACCAGCGGCTTATCCCCCTTGTCTATCGGTGTGAGGAACCCTTCTTGCCTACCTGCCTTTGCATTTACCATAATGCACTCTACACAACTATCAACTACTCGCGCTACTTTCTCCTTGAGCTTGGGAATATAATATGACTTCTCGATCAAATCCTGAGTCTTTTTACAAGAAAAGTGACCTTGCTGGTGATTGATCCTAATGATTTCATTTTCCATGAGCGAAGGTACAACTAACAACTCCTTATTGGGATCTTTAAACAGAACTTGGTTCAATATGTAGAAATCTTCATACCCTTTGGACTCGACAACACTTTTGACCACCTTCGTCCATTCATCTAACAGCTGTGCCTCCCTCAAACGATGTAGCAAACTATCAGTTACAACATTACACGACACCCTGCTCAAGGCATCTACGTGTCTCATTTTAGAACCGGACCTATGCTCTATCTCATAGTCGAAATCTTGGAGATACATTGCCCATCTCGACACTCGGAGCGGAATCTCCTTCTTCTTCATGGTCATGGTAAAAGCGTTACAGTCCGTAACTATCTTGAACTTTTTCCCTAGGACATACACTCGCCACTTTACCAAAGCTCCAATAACCGCAAGCACCTCGAGTTCATAAGAATGATACTTCTCCTCGCACGGCTTGGTTTTACGACTCATGTAGAAAACTGGATGCCACAAATTATCACCTGAATCTCGCTGAAGCATCACTGCCCCGAATCCGAATTTCGAAGCATCCGTATGAATCTCCGTTTCGAGCGAATGATCATAAAGCTTCAGAACTGGTCCACTAATCAACGCTCCCTTTAACTCCTCGAATGCTGCTAAATGTTTCTCCTGAAATTCATACTTCGCCTCTTTGCGCAATAAGTCAGACAGCGGCTTGGCAATTACAGCGTATCCTTCAACAAACCTACGAAAGTATGACGTCAATCCTAAAAATCTTTGTATTCCCTTCTTGTCGCGTGGAATCGGAAAATTAGCAACTGCTTTAGTTTTCTCATCACCTGGTTTGATAGTTCCCTTTTCAACGACATATCCTAAGAAATTTACCTTCCTCTTCAATACCTGACACTTACTCCAATTTATACGTAAGCCATTTCTCTCTGCTACTTCTAAAACTCTTTTCAATTTCAGCACGCCCTCTTCGATACTCTTACTTGCAATGATCACGTCATGACTGATTAAATCACGCATGACTGCCATGATAAACATCGTAAACACTGCCGGAGAGTTCGTGATACCGAAAGGTACAAACAGAAACTCATACTGTCGATTCTGAGTTACGAACGATGTATACTTTTGGGATTCTGGCGAAACAGGGACGTGAAAGAAACCATTTGTCAAATCTAGGGTCGTGAAAACCTCTCCGCCTTGCAGTTTCTCCATCACGCAATCCATATGAGCTGTTGGGAAGTTATCTCGGACAATCTTCACATTTAATTTGCGATAGTCGCAACACAAACGCTTTTTCCCGTTCTTCTTGTCTATAAGAACCACTGGCGAAGCAAACTCGGATGTACTAGGCTTTATAATGCCTTCTTCTAGCCATTCTTGAACTTGATTATCGACAATTTTCTGCTCGCAATATGCTAACCGTCGCGGATGTTGGAATACAGGCAACTCATCAGTCAACAAGAGCTTCATCTCTACTGGCGAACTGAGATTTCTCTTCGGCTTATAGTTCTCGATCATAAACTTCACTTCTGATGCGACCTTCTGACTTAAATGATCCAACTCTAACAAAGACTTTACCTGATAGTCTTCCATGCTTAACATGCAAAGGCTCTCAAACTCGCTCATCAACTGCACACAAGAACTCTGCCCTAGCTGACCATCATCTGTTCCTAATTCCGCTCTTTTTCCCACACAACGAACCCTTGGCGAAAATATAGTGCCATTCTTGGTAACCATCATATCGACGTTTTCTAGGATCGTTGTGCCCAAAATTGCATCGAACTTCATGCCCCATCAGATAACATGAAACTCGACTAGCTGTCAATCCCATCGATATTGACCTTGCTCCAAAACTTCCAAAAGTCAGCACCTGACCTCACCGACCCTGTCAAAACTTTCTGGCGTCCATCAGCTGCCAATGCCTACCCTAGTTTCAAAAACCCTCCTACGCACAAACCAACTCAGCTCCTGTATCCACAAGTCCCAAACCGTTCTCAAATCCTGTTTCAGCTCAAGACTCGAAGAATGGGGCACAGCGGTTTTGAAGCGACTTTTTTGTCCTGAACTACGTTCGTTTCTCTGCCTGTCTTAACTTGTACTTGAGCATTACACTGGGCTGCTCGGTGTCCTGGCTGATCACATTTAAAGCACTTCTCTCTCACAGGACAATCTCTCTTC